GGAGGCCATCGATGCCCCGCCCCCCTGGCCCAAGTTTCTCAGGCTGTCATTAGCGTCCCTTGCCTGGTTACTTCTGCACCCCAGAAGCCGGACTCCCAGCCCCCCGTCTTAACACAGCACCCAGGAGCCCAGGCCCCCAGCTTGTAATGGAGCCGGGAAGCCAAGGCCTGAGCCCCCTCCCAAGTAATGGGCTCCAAAGTTCACCGGTTCCAGCCTCTCCCGCCCCAAACTTAAAAGAGTTCAGGTGCCCATGCTGCAGAACTCAGGACCCCAAGTTCCCTCCCCCTGCCCGACCTCTGAGACAAGATTCCCGGGGGCCCCCCTGGCACCCCTGCATGGACTGAGGAACCCATGCCCCTAACCCCGACTTCTGGGAGGCATAGAAGTCCCGGACGACCACCCTGGCCCCCAGACCTTCCAGCCGGACACCACCCCCAGTCCCCAGCTTGACCTCTCACCTTTGCTGCCTGCCCCCAGAGCCCCCGGACCTGACGCCAGAGGAGCGCATGGAGCTGGAGAACATCCGACGGCGGAAGCAGGAGCTGCTGGTGGAGATCCAGCGCCTGCGGGAGGAGCTGAGCGAGGCCATGAGCGAGGTCGAGGGTCTGGAGGCCAATGAGGGCAGGTGAGGGCTGGGGCCAGAGATGGGGCGCTGGGGCTCAGCCCGGATTGCCCGTGCATTAATTAACCCTCTGTCCCTGCAGTAAGACCTTGCAGCGGAACCGGAAGATGGCGATGGGGAGGAAGAAGTTCAACATGGACCCCAAGAAGGTACTTAGGGCCACCTGGGATGGGGTCCTGGTGGGGGCTTCTGCGACTCCTCCAGGTTCCGGATATTTGATGGCTATAGGTCTGCTCTCAATGGGCGGGCTCCGTCCTGGTCCCTGGGTGCAGATATATCAGTTATTCTATCTCTGCTCTCTCTGATTTTTGCTTGTGCTTGGCTCCCTGCTAGGGCCGCCCCCATCCCCTCTCTAGATCCTGGTGTCACTCAGGATCTCAAGAGGAGCTCAGAGCTGGTAGGGGACATGGACGGTGACACGCACAAAGGAAGGGTGACCTGTGCTCTGAGGGAGGGGGTGGGGCTGTGCATCAGGGAGGGCTTCTCTGAGGAGGAACTTTGAGGCCATTGGAAGGATGAGTACAGCCATCCCCAAGTGGAGGAACGACAGCCGTTTGGTTAGTTACTCACTTCCCGTCCATTCCCTGGGACTGCCTAGAGGCCTGGCCTGCGCTAGGTAGTGCTGGGGACCCAGAGAGGGGTTAGACTTTGCCCTGCCCTCGGGGAGCCCCCAGATGCAGCTCCCATATGGTATTTAGTGAGAATGGGGGACCTCCTGCCTTGGGGAGGGAGAGCGGTGTGGGTTTTACATGGTCATTGAGCAAACATTGATGGCTCCCGTGGCTGGCTGCTGGAGCCCTGGTGGCATAGTGGTTATGCATGGGGCTTGAAACCACCAGCTGCCGTGCTGGAGCAAGATGAGGCTTTAAACTACTCCTGTAGAGAGTGAAACAGTCTTGGCGCGAGCAATTGTAAAATACTGCTGGATGTGATTGAACTGTGGCATAGTATGATGTCTGAATTAGCTCCTCATAAAATGGTTTTGGGGGCGGGGGTGGGGGTGGGTAAGAGTTATAGCCTTGGAAACCCACAGGGGCAGTTCTGCCCGGTCCTGCAGGGTTGCTGTGAGTCAGAACCGACTCGCTGGCAGGGAGTTTGGTTTTTGGATTTTTGGCTGGCTGGTCCCAACCGACAGGACTGGATTTGAGAAGGAACAGCAGGTGCACAGGCCCTGAGGCGAGAGAATGGTGTTGTAGGACTTGGGGAGCCGTTTCAGAATGAAGCCTGCCTGGCCCTGCCCTGGTGGGCATGGGAGTGGGCTGCACGGAGCGGCTTGGCTCTCCTGCCCGTGGCCCTTGGCCCGTGGCCCTGAGCCCAGCACCCACCCCTCAGGGAATCCAGTTCCTGGTGGAGAATGAGCTGCTCCAGAACACGCCCGAGGAGATCGCCCGCTTCCTCTACAAGGGGGAGGGGCTCAACAAGACGGCCATCGGGGACTACCTGGGGGAAAGGTGAGTGAGCCGGGCCCTGCTCAGCCCTCCCTGCCCTCAGACGCCTTCCACCACCGACGTGGTCTCAGGCCTGCTGACAGGAGAGCCTGGGCTGGGTCTGCTGGAGCCTGGAATCTTGGGGTGGGGTGGGAAAATGGGCGTGCATGGGGATGCAGACATCTGGGGAGTGTGGACCCCTCTGGAAGTCTGGGCTACATAGGCCTGGACACAGGGCCATAGGGACTGTGTGTGGACGCCTGGGGCATTTAGGTCCCGTACCTCTGAGGTGCTCAGACCTCTGCGAGCCTTTGTGGTGCACGCGTCTGGATGTCTGGGGGGTGTGGTGTTTGTGTGGACCTCTCAGGTAGGTGGTGAGTGTCTGGGCATGGGGGAGTTGGGGGTTGGGAGGGGTCATCTGAGAGCTGGTGGGGGATAGAATGCTTCTTGCCCTTCTCTCAGTTGTCAGCCTTGGCTGTGATGCTCCCAGCAGACGGTCCACCCAGGAGTGAGTCTGAGCGCCCAGGCCTGGGAGTGGGTGCCAGCTTACAGGTTTCCCCTGTAGCCAGGGAGACCTCCAGGGCACTCAGCAGGCTGGCCTCCCCACAGTGGTTCCTGACCAGGCCCTTTCCCCTGTCCTCCCAGGGAAGAGCTGAACCTGGCAGTGCTCCACGCCTTCGTGGACCTGCACGAGTTCACCGACCTCAACTTGGTGCAGGCGCTCAGGTGAGAGGGCTGGAGGGCGGGGATGGCCAGAGGGTGCCCCACAGGGCTTTCTTATTTACAAGTGACAAACCCTCCTGAAAGCAAAACGCTATAGGAAATCGATTGCCTCACAGCGAGGACCTCCTTCAGGCAGAGCTGTATCCAGTTGCTCGGGTAGTATTAGGTCAGTCTGCCCTTTTATTTCTTGGTTGTGCCCGGAGCTGTGTTGGCATTGCCCTTTGTAGGTCCTCCTCTCACTTAAACAGAAGCCCCTGGCAAGGACCCAGCTGGCTTAAAAACCTTGCCTACAAAAACAAAAGAGAGAGACTGTGTTTCTTTATGAAAAGGAGACCCCCCCGCACCCATTACTGTCGTCAGTTCCAGTTCACAATGACGAGATGGGACAGAGCTGGACTGGCCGCTGAGGTTCCAAGGCAGCCATCCTTCCAGAGGCAGACTGCCCTTTCTTCCTCCTGCAGTGTCTGGGGGCTTCCAACTGCTGACCTTTGGTAGCAGCCAAGCACTGAATACTCGTGTCACCAGGGCCCCTCCGTTTCCTAATATATTCATCAGTTGTCCCAGGGCCAGTGCTCATTGGTCAAATTAGATCATGTGCCTCTGTCCCCAAAACAGTTGGTGTGGCTAAGAGATTTTAATCATTTCTTCCCAGAGATTTGGGGCTTTTACTGGCCAGTTCCAAACCAGGGACTTAGCTGGGGAAGGGGTGCGTTAGCCCCAGGCCCACAGCCCTCTTACCCCCCCGTCCGCCCACCCCAACCCAGGCAATTTCTGTGGAGCTTCCGCCTCCCGGGAGAGGCCCAGAAAATCGATCGGATGATGGAGGCCTTTGCACAGAGATACTGCCTGTGCAACCCTGGGGTCTTCCAGTCCACAGGTAGGGTCCTGGGCCTTGGGGTCCAGGAGAGAGAGAAGGGGCAGGGGGGCCAGAGTCCTGGCCTCCTCAGCAACCTGGGAACCAGGACTCCTGGGAGGGTGGGGCTGGGAGCCTGTTCCGTGGGTCCGGTCGCATCACCCCCACCCTGTGTGGTGCAGACACATGCTACGTGCTGTCCTTTGCCGTCATCATGCTGAACACCAGCCTCCACAACCCCAACGTGCGCGACAAGCCGGGCCTGGAGCGCTTCGTGGCCATGAACCGGGGCATCAACGAGGGCGGGGACCTGCCTGAGGAGCTGCTCAGGGTCAGCACCCCCCTCCCTCAGCCCTCACCCCCCCCACCCCCAGATCCCTATGCACAGTTCTGAGTAACAGTCTGGTCCCCACAGACCCTCCCATCCACCCTCGGGGCCAGTTTCCAGCCCAACCCCCATGGCTGGCTCACTCTCGTCTCTTGTCTGTCTGTCTCTGTCCTCCCACGCTCTCTACATCGCCCAGTTGTCTATCTTCCTGTTTCCTTCCTGGTACCCAACACCCTTCATGCCTTTCCTTCCTCTCCTCTTCCCCCAAGGTCTCCATATGCCCCAGCCCCACTCTCTATCCCCAGTAGCCCTGGAGGGTCCCCGGGCCATGAGTAGCTCACTTACCCCACTCCCCACCCACCCCGCAGAACCTCTACGACAGCATCCGAAACGAGCCTTTCAAGATTCCTGAAGACGACGGGAACGACCTGACGCACACCTTCTTCAACCCGGACCGCGAGGGCTGGCTCCTCAAGCTGGGTACGGCCCTGCCACCGGCCCCCGACTCGGTGTCCCCTACTGTGTGACCTTCGGCCAGTGATGCACCCTCTCTGAACCTCCATCTCCTCCTCTGACCCACGGAGTCAAAGAGGGGCTTATTGGGAGTGTTCCCCAATGGCTTCCTGCCACCCAGCAGTGTAGGGTGGCCCTCCTCAATGGCAGTCACTGGCCTTGCCACAAGGGCACAGTGGGGACCAGGCAGCCCAGTACTCAGTGAGGTTGGGGAGGCTTCTCTCTGAAGCTTCCGGTTGCAGCTATAGGAAAGCCCACACTGGGGCCTCTTCATGGTCTGATACGCAGGCACTTGCCATCTTACCAGCCAAGACCCCAGGCTCCAGGGCATGTGTGGCTCTGCTCAGTGGAACCCTACACCCTGTTGGCCTGAGCGTCAGGTCAGTGGCACGGTGACCTCTCTTCTAACCATCTCTAAACCAAACCAAAACCCCCTGCCATGGACGCCTGTCCCAGACACCCCCAGGGGACTGATTTCTCACCAGGCCTCCTGGTCTCGGGTGGAATAACTCACCTGGCTGAGAGGCTCGGGTACAGGGCTGTGACTTACGGGTTGGGCTGTTAATGGAGTGGTCAGCAGTGCAAACCCACTAGCTGCTCCGAGTCAGGGAGCGAGGTTAACTTCTAAAAAGGTTTGGTCTCGGAAACTTGGGGAGCAGTTCTCTGTCCTACAGGGTCACTGAGCAAAACCACACTGGCAGCAAAGGGATTTGGTTTGTTTTGTTTAACTGCAGTCAGGTGGGGGCTCCTTACAGGCTGGGGGCAGGGGTCCAGGCTACTGGGACACACCTGGCTCCAGCCTTTCAGAACCGTACCTTGGTGTGCCGACTAGGCGACCCGGAGGGGCACTGAACAGCTGTGACGAGCTGTCAACGGCAGTCGGATGAAGTCAGAGTCTCTGGGGCAGGATGGGCTGATGGTCGGACGGAGCTCCCCACGAGGATCCTGGGGGGAACGGGTGTTGCATGAGGAGCTTCAGGGTGACACCTGGCATGGCTGCTCTCGGGGGGGACTGGGTCTGTGGGGGACAGAGGATACATTGGCCTAAGCAGGGGCTCCAGAAAGGGCCTCGCTTCCCTTTTTGTGTTTTGGTGCTCGTTTTGTTGGTGGTGGTTGTTAACTTAGTTTTCCATGAACAAGGACCAGAAAGACTGGTTCAAACCCGCCCTCCACTCTGCCGGAGAAAGAAGAGGCTGTCTGACTTACTTTCCTAAAGACGTAACAGACTCAGAGACCCGATAGGGCTGTTTGACTCTGTTCTATAGGGTTGTTAGGAGTCAGAACCCACAGCAGTGTGTTACATCTCCCTTCTGGGAACCTCAGCACTGGTCAGCCTCAAGATTCTCACACTGGGCCCCCAGCCTCTGGTCCCGCCCAGCCCCTCCGTTTCATCCGAGCACCGGGCCATGGACACCTTAGGAAGTGCAGTTCTGTGGCGCATGGGTCACCAGGAGTCCGTCCACGCTACAGCATTTACTCTCATGCTAAAACCTCACTGAATCACACAGTTGCACCCAGAGAGGAGGCCATGTACACTGGCCCCTGAGCTGTCAGGTGTGTGCAGGTTCCAGAGCAGTGCTGCTGGCGAGGACAGGGTTCTGGTGACAGGCGGTGGTTGAGTAAGGCCGTTGGCATCGAGGGAAGCTAGTGATGAGTCCGCATCGAAAATCAAACTCTGACGACTAGTGGATGCTGATTCACCGTGACCCTGCACGACAGGGTCGAACTGCCCCTGTGGGTTCCCCAGACTAACTCTTTATGCTCCCATGGGGTGGGCGTGGGTTCAAACTGCTGACCTTTCAAGTAGCAGCCCACCAGGTGACCATGACGCTACCAGGGCTCCCGGGGTGATGGACACCTACCTCCAAAAACACCCTGTTGTAGAACTGAATGGAACTCCCTAGGGTTTCTGGAACTGAGGGAGCAGACAGTTTCGTTGTTCTCCCTCAGAGCCTGGTGGGTTCAAAGTGCTGACCTTGTAGTAAACTTGCTTCCCTCTCAAAAAAAAAAAAAAGTGCCTTTGAGTTGATTCTGCCTCTCACCAACCCTCTGGCACTGAGTGGAACTGGTCCCCTAGGGTTTCTGAGACTGAGGCTTTATGGGAGCCGATGGCCTCTTCTTTCTGCTGAGGAGCAGCTGGTGGGTTCAAACCACTGACCTGGTGGTGAGCACAGGTACTTCACCACTGTGCCCTGAAGGCTCTTGAACTGAGCACCGGGCGGGTGGGCCACTTTTAGCCCTGGTGGTGCAGCAGGTTACCTGCTGGCCCGTCGGGACTGGTGGTTGAAGCCCACCAGCTGCTCCGTGGGAGAGAGATGAGGCCATCTAGTCACCCCCCTTGTAATGATTGGCATCCTCGGGAACCCTCTGTCCCACAGGGCCCCTGAGATGGCTGTGGGGGAGTGGGGGTCCATCCATAAAATGCTGAGGTCAGGCAGGGAATGGGGGGCGGGGGGGCAGCAGGGAAGCAGTGGGTGGTTGCAGCCTGCCAGGGCTTGGTTCCAGCAAGCAGACCCACTGGCAGCTGGAAAGTGGGGATCCAAGGGGTCTCCAAACAGCCAGCTTTTCAGACGAGTCCAGAGAGGGTGAACACTTGTCCTAAGGCCACATAGCTTTGAACTGGAACTGAGCCGGGACCCACGCACACCCACCTCAGCCCAGGAATGTAGGGGGCAGAGGTTGCCTTCTCCACTTTTTTTTTTAGGTGGGGGGGACTAAAAAAAATTCACCGAGGCCCTCATTCCTGGGTACCTGCTTGGAGTGTTGTGCTGTGCGGGCCATGGGAGGGAGGGTCTGGGCATGCCTGCCTCACATGGCTGTAACTGGTTTCTTCCCTCTCTCTCCCTCCTGCCCTCCCCCTCGGCCGCTCCACTTCACCCGGCTGCCCCTTTCTGTTCCCTGGCACGCTCCTCACCTCGCCACCCTCTCTCTGTCGCCTTGCGGCCCTTGGGGGTGCCCCTCCTCCTACCTCCCCTCCTGCGCCCGCCTGGTCCTGTCTGCTTTCTCGCTGCCTGCCCCAGGAGGTAGGTACCCGCTGCTGCTCCCCCTGCCCACCTGCCTTCCCGAGGAGGGGTGGGCCGGCCCTGTACCCCAGGGAGGAGGGTGGGTGGGCCCTGAAGAAATCAATGAAGCATCCCACGCCCAGCCCCCAGCCGGGGAGTCCGAGGAGGCCTCCACAGGCCTACCGTCGCTTGCCTGTCTCCCCCAGCGCTGGCTTCTCCCATGCCTGCTCTCCCTTTGCCTCCCACCCCTTCCAGTGGCCTGTTCCCCCATCTACCTCCTGCCCCCCAGTTGAGCCCAGGCCCCCTCCCCCCTTCCTTTTCAGGGGGCCGGGTGAAGACGTGGAAGCGGCGCTGGTTCATCCTGACTGACAACTGCCTCTACTACTTTGAGTACACTACGGTGAGGGCAGTGCCCCATGGCTGGACTCGGGCTGAGGGAGGAGGGACTGCGGGGGCGGACAGTGTCTGAATATTGGGGGAAGAGGAGGTTGGAGGCCAGCACTGTCCCACCTGCTGCTTTAGGACAAGGAACCCCGCGGAATCATCCCCCTGGAGAATCTGAGCATCCGAGAGGTGGACGACCCCCGGAAACCCGTAAGAAAGACTGCACCCCCACCCTGCCACGAGAAGGGGCGGCTCCAGCCCCTGCCTGCGCTCACTGCATCTTCCGTTCTCCCCAGAACTGCTTTGAGCTCTATATCCCCAACAACAAGGGGCAGCTCATCAAAGCCTGCAAAACAGAGGCCGACGGGCGAGTGGTGGAGGGCAACCACATGGTCTACCGCATCTCCGCGCCCACGCAGGAGGAGAAGGACGAGTGGATCAAGTCCATCCAGTGAGCCCGGGGAGGCCAGGACTCCCTGGTCCGGGTGGGGGGTGGGGACGCGGGCTGGGTTTGTGGACTCCTGTCTGAGGGAGGAGGGCTGGGGAGACTCTGGGGTCTGATGGAGGAGGGACTGAGGGCACAGCCTCACCCCAGGGTGCATGTTTTCACAGGGCGGCTGTGAGCGTGGACCCCTTCTATGAGATGTTGGCGGCCCGGAAGAAGCGCATCTCCGTCAAGAAAAAGCAGGAGCAGCCTTGACCTCCCGCCCCCCACTCCATTATTTATTTTGGAGCTGCCCCGCCTGGGTGGCCGGACCCCTGGGCCCCGGGGCTGCGGATCCTGGTTTCCCCGTTTGGAAAATTCACCACCTCTAGCTGCCCACCCTCATTCTTTGTAATTAACACACTGTTGGTAATCTTATTAATTATTTAACCACTCGCGGCCTGTGGCCCCGTCATTTCTTGGGGTTTTCAGAGTCGATGTTGCTGGGGCATTGGCTGGGGGCAGACACCTGTAGCTGCCCTTCCCTTGGGCTGGTTCCCGGTGCAGGCGCCACGTCGGGGGCCAACAGGGCCTGTGGGCAGGCAGTTGCTGGGCCAGCTTAATGGGAGGATGGCTCTGCATGTAAACGTCATTCCGAGGGAGGGCTTCAGAAAGCAGGTCGACAGAAGGTGAGCTCTACTTCCAGGCTGACTTTGTAGAGCCTGACATTCCTGCCAGGAGCCCTGGTAGCACCCAGTTTGAGCGCTGGGCTGCTCCCTCAAGGCTGGTGCTTGGAGTCCAGCAGGGGAAAGCCCTGGTAGTCTCCGTGAAGGTGACCGTCTCCGAGACCTCAGGGGGCAGCCTGTCCCCTCGAGCCCCGGAAGGATGAAAAGGGCTTGGGCACTGGAATTCAGAGGCACAGTCTTGGGAAGGCAGGCCGAGGGGGGTGCACCGGAGGAACAAGCAGTGTCTGGAAGGAGCCTTTGGGTGGAGGTGTGATGGAGCAGGCCTGGGGCTATGCCCAGGGTGGGTGGGAGGATTGGGTTTTAGTGTCCCTGGAATCAGAGGGTCGGTCTCCTTTGTTAGGTGTCTGAATCATAGCGATCCCTGTATAACAACAAAACACCCCCAGCCCTGGGCCAGTCTCACACTTTCAACCCATCCCATCGCTGTCCCTCCTGAGAACATGCCCAAAGGACGGGAGATGAAGTGTCTCCATCTTATCTCTAAGGAGCATGCTGGCTGTACTTCCAAGACACTGATCAGGCAGTCTGTGGAATTGTAGTCCTTGCCATGCCACACTCCAAATGCATCAGGTCTACCGTGGTCTCAATCCGTGTCCAACTTTGACATGCCTCAGAGGCAACGGGAAATGCCTTGGGCTGGTGACCTAGCTCCTGAGCGCTTGACAGACGTCTTCTGCAGTTCTCCCCAGTGTAGTGCTGCTCCCGTGAGCTTTGGAGACCCAGTTCAAGAAGGAGTTCCCTCTGCGTGGCTCCTGGGGAAGGGTCTTCACTCCGTGGTCCTCTTCACGTGGCCTGGCATCCAGCTGTCCCCCCAATCTCTGCTTCCACCTCAGCTCTTCGAAGCCTCAAGTTCATAGCAAACGGGCTCAAATATAGTTCAAGTCTTAGCTTCAGTCTCCCCAGGGGGTGCTTTATGCCAAAGATAGGTGCAGTCTGACCCCTTTTCGGAAAAATGTGATGTATAGAAGATGTGAGGCTTTTTTTTTTTTTAAGGTGGAGCTTGTCGGGTCGGGATGGGGACTCCACTGAGCTACCCATTCTGGTCTGGCCACCCCCTAGCCCTCCAGCGAGGGGCATCCAAGGTGTTTCCGAGAACAAGGGCTCACAGATCCCAAGAGCTCCTCTACTGGTTTTGGGCACTGAGACATGCTCCAGTAATAAAAACAGCTCCGGGAGGGGGGGCGGGTGGTGCAGAATCAGCTAGGCTGTAAAAGACGCTTACTACCCACCCCCCCAGGCTTGCAGGGAATTGTAGCTCCTGCCTGGAAGTTGCCTCTCTGAGAGGGCCCTGTCTCTAATCGACAGATCCTTAGGAGCGAGCAACATTCAGAATCCTGATCCCGCCCTTTCCCACAAGCTCCCTCGAGGCTAAAGGGTCACACAGCAGTAATCATGTGGCCACCTTCCAAGGCGTGCACTGCAATTCCCTACAGGCTCTGCGGCCTGGCTGCCTCTCTACCTAGAGAGGTAGTCTCCTGGGAGTCGTAGTTTCTCATTGATTCAATTACTGGGCTGGGGGAAAAAATGGTCCTAACCCTGTTTGAACCCTCTACAACCACCACCCGGAGCAGGTGAGAAGTGGCGTTCCCAAATGCAGCAAGGGAATTTCCAGCGCTTCCCAGTGGTTCAGGGAATTGCCACCCCAGCCCCAGAAAGCCACATTGTCGGGTGTCCTCGCGTGATAAATCGGAACGAAATACTTCTCAAGGGAAAAAAGTGAGAACTGTCGTTCTCTGGGAAAGCAAAAAGGTAAGGACATTTTCCAGGAAAACTGCGGCTCAGAGAGACCTCCACCAGTAAGCAGCTGGTTTTCAACGGAGGACACTCAGGATAGGGGGGCGGATGCCATTGATTCTGACTCGTGTGATGGGCTCTCTGGGCTGCTGTCTATCAGAGGAGGTCACCAGGCCTTTATTTCCTCGGAGCCCATCAGTGGATCCCAGCTGCCAACCTTTCAGGTAGCTGTTGAGTGCTTAACCACTGTGCCAAATTTGGCTCCAAATCCCAGCCAAACCCACCGCCATCGAGGGGATGCCAATTCCTCGCCACCCTGTGGGACCCAGTAGAACTGCCCCCCTGAGCTTCTGAGACAGACTCCCGCAAGGGACAAGAGAGCCCCTCCAGCAGAGCGGCTGGTGGCTTTGAACCGCCGACCTGTGGATCCTGCGCAGCCCACCGTGTGAACCAGGGTCTCATTTATAGGGTTTCTGAGATTAAATCTGAAGGTGAAGCAGACAGCCTCACCTTTCATCCTCAGAGGGGCTGCAGGTTTCCATCAGCTGACCAATGCCCATTTGCTCATAGCGCCCCCAGACTCCAGCCCCCTCAACATTGTCCCCCCTTCCTGGTCTTCACTCTAAGGCCTGAAGATTCTTGACTTTCCGCTCCCTCCTCACCTACACCTAGGAGTCTGAGCCCCTCCGCTCTCAGACTCGGGAGTCCACACCCCCTCCCTGGCCTGGTCCCATCCTGCGGCCACCCCAAGGGAGTACCTCACAGATCAACCACCACCCGAGCCAGCAGCGTTGGCAAGAGTCTCCCTGGAATATGCAAATGATCTAGGTAGCATCGTGGGGGGGTGGGCAAGTCGAGGCCAAGGGATCAGAGACCCTCTCGGGGTTTAAAAGGACAGCCGGAGGCAGAAACAGGCCAAGAGAAATCCCGACAAAGACAGCGACAGATGGAAACAAAGGCAGAAAAGACATAATCGGGCCAGGAGGGGAACCAGGGGAGAGACAGAGACTAGACAGAAGCGGAGCCAGGGAGCCACTCAGACAAAGAAGTAGAAATAGATCTTCCCAGGGAGAGAGGCAGAGGCTGAGGGGAAAGAGACAGGCCGATGCTGACAAAGGAAAGGGGAGGTGAAAGTGGGCCAGCGTGAGGCAGGCGCTACAGCTTGTCGGACACGGGTCCAGTTCACAGGGTTTTTTAAGGCTGTGAACTCCTCAGACGGTGCGCGCGGACTGGGCAGGTTTTACTGTTGGGCTAACAGCTGGGTGAGTTTTAATCCTTAACCTTCGGTTCATCATCTAGCCCTTAGCCATCTTGAGCCACCCAGAGACCCGGAGAAGACCAGGAGGGATGCGTCCAGGGAGAGAGGGGTGAGGAGAAATAGGTCAACCGGGCCAGGGCCACCCCAGGCAGGGAGGTAGAATCGGACCTTGGAGAAAGCAGCACGCTCTGAGAGTCTGAGGTGGTGGCAGCCCGTGGTGGCAGATGGCTCCCAGCCCCGCTGTGGAGTCAGGGTCCTGACCACACCCCTCCTCCACCCCCACCCCCACCCCCATTGCTTCTGGAACTTAAAAAGTGCCAGCTGCAAACACCAGAGTGAAGTCCTGGGGCCTCACAGCCACCGTTTCTTTCTGCCACTTTCCAGTCTGAGTCCCACAATCTGTCAAGTAAGGCTGCAAGGTGGAATGTTCTGGAAGGTTCGGGTTTCTCGTGGGGCAAGCGCCACACTCTCTGTAT